AAGTTTAACACTAAGTTTAAGAAAACCGTCTGCATCGTATTTTGACTGCTCATTGTCCTACGACTTCCTTTTTTTTTTTTTAAGATTATAATAATTTTAAAAATTCCGCATTTCTTCAAATTTTCAGCTGAAATGTTCGTTGCTGATCCCGGGCGAGGTGCTATATATGTAGGTGCCTCTGATGACAGAGGATCCTTTGCTGGAGCAGGATTTAATGCCCTGCCTCTTCAAAACCTAATGCTGCCTTGGGCCGTCGCTTTTGATAACAGATCGAGGACAGTTTTCTGGACAGATGGTGACCTGGACGCCATTCTGAGAGCTAATATTGATGGTACAGAACAGAGAGTCATCGTTGATGGTTTGGGATGTAAGTGCATATAATTTGTATTTCTTTGATAGAGAGGGGGCACCCAGGATTGTCAGGTGAGGTTGTCTAAAGAAATCGATGCCCACTGGGTAGAGTGGTGTAGATAATAGTCCAGTAGACGGGAACATAGACCATGTACATGACCTGGAAAAGTTGGTAAGTACAAGGTTTTTTTGTTGATTCGTGTTCTAGATGGGTATTGACCTTTTGAAAGACTATACATTAATTCATTGGAAGATATTCCATGTAGATGTCGTATAATTTGCCCAATTAGCATATACACTGTATATGCAATATGTAATAATGTTGTTAATCTTAATCCAGGGAGACTGAAAACATGGATAATATGACTTTATGATTTAGTTGTGACACCATTTTTTAGTTTTAAGTAATGCAATTAGCTTAATATGTCATTATTGTACTAATAAGCTTAATTAGCATATATGTAAAATATTAATTATTTAGGACTCTATTTAGCTTCACAAATTGTATGTCCAACGTGGTGGTTATCTTGGTCGCAAGGCAATGTTGTCGAACCTCATAAAATGTCTAGGAAATAACGGGGTCATCATACGCATTGATGGTTGGGCTTCAGTCATTGTATTTAGAAAGACTGTCGAAAACACACTAAAGATGGTTAAAGCAGATGATAATGATGGAATCGATGATGTGGTGAGACATGTACGTACATAGGCCAGGGATGTTGAATACAGCAGTGCGAACTATGATCTGTCTATGTTTACCAAAGCCAGAACCATTGAGAGTACAAGCCCGACGTTGCTCAAGCTTGTGGCAGAATTCCTGGAAAAGTCATATTATCCATGTGTTCAGGCTTCCTGGATCAAGATTAGCAACATTATAACATATTGCACATATATGCTAATTAGGCTAATTATACTACATCTACATGAAATATCTTCTCATGAATAAATAATTAGTCTTTCAAAAGTGATTTACAATGTTGCATTGCACCATTTTTAGGCTTTATAGATAAACAATGACAATAAAGTCCATATATTATACACATGCTTATTAGCTTATTATGCTCATTGTGCTATTTAAGACAATTGCATTACTTGGATTAAAAAAACTGGTGTCATAAATGAATTCCTCGTCATAGAAAACCCCTGAAAAGTCATATTATCCATGTTTTCAGGCTTCCTGGATTAAGATTAGCAACATTATTACATATTGCACATATTATATGCTAATCAGATTATTAGGCTAATTAGGCTAATTATACTATATATACATGGAATATCTTCTCATGAATTAATGATTAATCTTTCAAAAGTGATTTACAATGTTGCATTGCACCATTTGTAGGCTTTATAGATAAACAATGACAACGAAGTCCATATATTGTACATACACTGTTGGTCATAATGGTGGAATAATTTTTGTTTACCCCGATTTATGGAAAGTTTTTAACAATGATTCATTCCTACTAGATCTAGATAATAGTATACATTCTCAGATTTTATTGAATAATAATGTGTGAGTGTTTGTTTTGCGTGACTGCTAAAGCATATGTATGCTATTATGCTAATCTACTAGGGGACCTACGTCCTTAAGTCATAACTGACAGTAATGAGAAATAATGCCTCATAAAAGGGCACTACTAAAGCATATCGACACGGTTTTTATCCTGGGGGCTCACAGTAAAGGGGCCATTAATTAGCCACTGAATCATGACTGTACGCAGCGGGGGCTAGGGTACGTCGCCGCCTCCACAAATACAACAAAACAAAGAAAATACAATAGATCTTCAATAATTCATCGCACTCATTCCCCCGGTCCCCAACATAAAAATTCCTCTGTAGGGCAATTCATTATGGGTTAAGGCATGCCCACATAGAAGATTTTTTTTTTATCTTAGGGGTCGGGGCAAAATGCAATGAATTATTGAAAAATTTAATGGATTTTCTTTGTTTTTTGTATTTGTGGGGGCGGTGACGTACCCTAGCCCCCGCTGCGTACAGTCATGATCCAGTGGCTAAGCAATGGCCTCGTTACGGTTTTCCAGGTCTGAAAAATTTCTACAGGACTATAAGGGGGAAATGATCATAGGGGGTCAATCATTCCTTAGCTTTCAATTAGTCCAAGAAAAAATGTTATAAAGAGGTACGTCATGTTTTCCTGAGGCCTAAAATTCAAGCTTTAAAAATATACTTGCTACAAAAGAAATAGATATAATATGATTCAAATGATTTTATTTCTCATGCAAAACACAATACAAGAATAATTATATGAACCGATAAATATAATGGGAAAAAACACGAGAAAAGAGGAACTAACTTGAAGCAGAGCTCGTTGAAGTGTTAGTTCCTTAGATGCTGTTTTACAATATAACATGAACAAAGTATGCTTCGAAATCAATAAATAGACAAATATGTAGCTAAGAAATTCTAAAAATTTTGGGGAATTTTTTTTTTTTAAAGAGGAAAAATGGAGGAAAAATAGTAAAAGGCAAAAAGAAAAGAAAGATACAAAAAAGGGGAAGGAATTATTGCAAAAGCTCTAGAAAAGGGAAATTAGATCAGTAGAATGAGGGAGAAAGAAATCGAGAAAGAAATTGATTCGAGAGTCAAACAAACCGAGATTCGATCATGCATATTTGTTTAAAAGTTTAATCTTTATATAACATCTTCATTGACAGCATGTGGGAGAGAGAGAGAGAGAGAGAGAGAGAGAGAGAGAGATAAAGAGGGGGGAGGGGAGGGGAGAGAGAGAAATTTAATAGAAACTTACTTTCTACATAATTTGTTAAAACCTAATATCAAATAATCGATGACTACTTTATCATACACAATACAATTTATGATTGTTTTCACATTGTCACATTACTTTTAGTAACTGATTATACACTCTCGCGTTGTTATGGTGATGAATCATACTAGAAATATCATAATGTATGTATGTTTCATGTTTCTCAGATCCAGCTGGTCTTGCAATTGACACAGCGAACAACAAGCTGTACTGGACAGACTATGAACTACATGAGATAGCATCATCAACCCTACAAGGCAAAGAACGAAAAGTCCTGGTTAAAACTGGGCTACAGAGACCTCGAGGTATTACGGTGTCCGCATGTTACTGGTGAGCAAGTCCCAAAGTAAGGGTGCATTGATTTTAAATAATGATTTAACTTGTATCATTGCAAAAGGGAAGGTTGGTTCGAACATTTTGATCTAAATTCCCCGCTAGAAAACATTCAAGAGAACAATTATTATCAATTATAACATATGAAGCCTATGATTGAAGTGAAGGCGTCATGGTATAGTTGTTCATTCACTTGAATCTTAATTGAAGGGTTGATGATTCGAATCCCAGCACGGTAGTAACAACCTTCTGCACGACATTCATCCACATTTGCTACTCTCCACTAAGATGTAAATGGCAATTGCTAATGAGGCTTCCGTGTGTAAACAAGTTATCATTATTTGTTCATTGACTTTTAATGCAAAGACATAAAAGTAAAATATAATTTTCATTTATAGCCTATAACACTAAGTTTATATTGCAGGAGGATTTGCAGTGCAAGGAAATGTAGTCAAATTTGCTTAAGTACAACTGTCTATAAAGGCCATAATTTCGTTTTCTCCATTAAATCCCTGCCCCCCCCCCCCCCCCCACCAAATGAGCAATAATGGGGCCTGTACATAAAGACCCCCGTCTGATAAAGACCGCTTTACTGCTCTCCCTCGTGTGGTATCTACAGGCACGTAGCCACGGGGGGGGGGGGGGGGCACGTGCCCCCAACAAATTTCCAAGATCGGTTGAACTTTTTTAGACCCCTTTTTTTTACCTCTATCGATTACGTGTAGGTGCCCCCCCCCCCCCCCCAACAACAAACTCTGACTACGTGCCTGGGTATCTAGGCCTATATTAGGCATGTTTACTGTCACCGGAGCTAGAGTCTCGTTTATAGGAGTATAACTATGCGGAAACAATTATAATTGATGTCATATTGTTTATTGTTTCCCCCACAGCCTCTTGTTCTGGGCTGACGAAAGTGCAAACACTATTGAACGTGTCAATACAGATGGAAGCAATCGTATGGTACTTGTATCGAGTGGGTTGGATTATCCAACTGCTGTAAGCCTCAATAACGAAGGTAATACATTTGTGTGTGCAGTAACCAGGAAGATCATTTTTTGAGCATGCAAATCCGGATACCAGACTGACTATCCCGATTACACATACGTGTAGTCTTCCCTTTTAATACTATTTATACCCTCATTATTAACAAAAAATAATTTCACTTTCGGATTTAGTTCTTTGCCGTGTTTAATGTAACGTGATATCAATAGCAACTGTCACAATTTGCTCACAAACAATTAAATGAAACGATTTCAGTAGTTAATAGAAACTGATTTGAATGTGAATTTCCCCTTTGGCCCCAATTTTGAATGTTGATAGCACTCGCCCATCTGCGATCCTCGATGTGTTTAATTTGTAAAGCAATGATGCACCAATCATGATGAAATGATGCCCTTCCAGCGACAATTATAATCGCAAAGTCTGTCGATAATTCCAATAACCTGTAGGATATCCTAGAAGTCGTGGTCGGATTACATAATACCGGATATACGTCCCTGTATTGTGCGCTCATGTCAGTACCTGAACAACAATGCTATTGGAATTGCTTCAAGTTGATGTTTTGGGAAGAAAACAAATGGCATTGCTATTGTGTCGACAGTACAGGTGTTGTTCAGATCCTACTCCTTGACAATGATTATATTGCACTTCCTATACAGAGAACCGTTTATATTGGGCGGATTTTGGACGAGGGCGTGTGGAATCGGTGGAAATAAACGGTGGCGATCGCAGAGCTCACGTTGAGATGGTCAGAGGTTTTACCTTCATCAAACCTTACGGACTCGCTCTTCTCGGGAAGGAAAATAAGATATTCTATTCGGATTACACTCAATCCGTCATCCTCGAAATTGACCAATCACAGGGCAGTGAGCGGGAACCGATAACGATTGAAGGCGCCACTGATCAATTCCAAGATCTGACACACATCTTTATTAGCGAATTTTCTGAAGGTCTGTCCGCCACATTACTTTATAATTTGTCTGTCTTCTTTTAGTTTGTTTGTTCTTTATTTTGTTTTGCTTTGTTTTGTTTTCTTGTATTTTTCATTTCTCACTTGCCCGATTCTAAGTGGGAAAATGTATAGGAAAGAATATAGCAACACACTGCGCTTTGGTTCAAATCATATTATTTAGGGGATCGACAACAAGTGACCCAATTCAAAGGAGCCAAGTCGCATCCATCAACCATCAAATTAGGCGTACCACCGTAGTTCAATTCTTGGTCCCCTTTTATTTTCAATATATTTTAATAGTCTACCTGAATGTACTCCTGAAGGTATCAAAGATATGTATGCTGACGATACGACACTTACCGTCAGTGCAAATGATGCAACTGTTGTGGAAGAAAAATTAACTGTTGCATTAAACAGAGTCATGGCATGAATTAAGGAAAATCGTCTTGTTCTTTACATTGAAAAAACTTGTGTCATGTTAATAGGCTCTTGTGCTAATCTCAAGAAAATTGAATCTTTCACCATTTCATTAAATGGCAATTTGATCAAAAGATTTCAATTCACCAAATGCTTAGGACTTTTGATAGATGAAGAGTTGTAATGGTCTAAACAAATCAAAAACGTAAGTAAACTTACCCAGAAAAACATTAGCATGATAAAGAGAGCAAAGAGTTTTTTGCCTCAAAAAAAATCCTTAAAGTTACTTTATAACAGTCTAGGTGTTCCCACGATTAGATTACTGCTCTGTTGTATGGTCGAACAGATTTCATTCTCATACAACTAAGCTGCACAAAATTCAAAAGAGGGCCGCAAGAATAATATTGAAGAAGACATAAATTATGACACACCGTCGGCTGATTTGTTCACAAGTCTGAAATGGATGACACTAGACAAGCGGTTTGAGTTAAGTCGCGTTATGATGATATATAAATGCGTTCATAACTTAGCACCTTCTTACCTTCAGGTAGGCTTAATCAATCCTAATGATGTACATGAGCATCATACAAGGCAAATAGACAGTGGATGTTTACGTGTGCCTAGATTTCACACTGATTGTTATAAATGTAGCCCAATTGTTTCTTCCATATTTGAATGGAATAAGCTAGATAATTCGTTGAGAACGACTTCCTCTGTCAAATCATTTAAGAGATTGTTTAAACAAAGTTGTAATTTGTGAATGGCTTAGCCGAACATACACTACGTGCATGTTCTGTAATATTAACATGACTTATTCACATAATTGCGACTTAATCAATATTTTCCTATTGACATTACTGTTTACTAGGTTTATGATATATGTTTATTTTGCAAACGAGTATTATGTTTGTAACTGTTCTGTATAAACGTTATAAACGATGTAAATATATGTTCATGTTTATTCAGGGCCCCATGGAAGACCACTACTTGTTGGTGAATGGGCTACCCTGTCAAAAGATTAGAAATAAATAAAATTTTAAAAATGCTACTTAATCACTTACATCGACTAAAAAAATAGTGTGGGCGATTCCGAATCCCGTACGAAATTTGTCGTGAAAAACTCGTTATACGACCATTTACTAATGGTTCATTCTGGTATTACTAACGTTATTAAATGTTCATATATACAGATTTCTCCAGACAAATGTCGTACGGAACGCATTGCACGAAATCGTCTATAGGTTATATTACAATTCAGTCTGAGAAGATAGGTGTAAAAATGCCTATGCTTCCCATGTAGCAACATTTTTCTTACATACATGTTAGACCTTTCCTATTTTACAAAATAATAGGCATAATTGCATTTGATTTCAAATACTTCCAGGTCTGCCAATTTATGTGTGTAGTACGTGCGTAAGTGTGTCTTAAAAATAACTTTGATTTCTGGTCATACAAGAACATAATTATGTGGAAGTGATTGGAAAAGTTTGATCATGTAGAAGAAAGTACTGGTGTATACCGTGAGGTTTTTTTTAATCATCAAAGTTAAGACTGCATAAGTTGGCCCAGTCTTGGTAAAAGCCACATGCACTGTCCATAGAATCTGCTTATATGGGACTATACGATCATGAGGCATGCTACTTAATTGTCACATTTTAAGTATGAAGGCATTTGAGACCATCCCTTTCAAGGGGGCTTAACTCGGCTTCTGCATGCGTCCAGCCATGTATGATCGAATCTCTCTGATCCCTTGGAGAGGACACCTTTTCTATGAAACACGTTCACACTATTAAACATGTAAATAATGAAAAGCATCACAAATTATTGTTTCACCTTTTCCTGAACTTAATCTTCCCCTAATGCTGCGTTTAATGTTGAATTAAGTTTAAAGAACTATCACTATCATCCTTCTTATACTCTCTACGATAGTAATTTGTGACCCTCTGCTCAAGCCTACACCTCAACAAGCACCATGTCCATCTACCACAACCATTTCCTCATCCACCTCTTCAACAGTAGCCGCAACTGCACCCGTCAACTCTACAACAGGTATGATCTACACACTTATTTACAGGCAGATGGCAAGCCTTTATTTGTAGATGTGTCGTAGTCGAGGGGTTAACGCACTTGACTGGAAATGCAAAGGTCGTGGGTTCGATGACCCTATTCCGGACACGGCACTAATGTCTCTTTGCAAGACGTTAATCTACAATTTTCACTTCATGCCCAGGGGTGAAATGGGAACCTGGGCAGCGTTTCTCGAAACCGTCATAAGTACAAGTTCACCGACATCCCATTGACACGCGTGTATTAAGTTTAACACGCGCTTCAATGGGATGTCGGGAAACTTGTAGTTATGACGGTTTCGAGAAACGCTGCCCTGGTAGGATGACGACAGTAGGGTTTAATCCATGCACCAACAAAAAAACTATTTCAAGAGGTAACGTACGAAGCTATTGGAATTGCCTTATTGGTTTTACGAAAGTAGTTGCGATCTATTATAAGCAAAAAAGAAGAATAAAGTGTCCTCCTAACAATGAGCAACTTAATATAATCCTTTTTAAAATTCTAAATTCCGTATACAGAAGGCCTTGCATCCCGTTTTCTGCCAACATCAACGCTGATTATCATTATTGCCGGATCTTCGGTCATTGGAATTCTTGCTATCATCCTGATGATAGCTCTAGGAATTAAAACAAGGTAAAAATATTATCCCCCCCCCCTTCCCTTCACTTCCATCGAGGGGTGAAGAAAAATGCTAGAAAAAGAGAAATAGGGTAGCCTAGTAAAATTGCAAAACAAAATTCTGAGTAAGACCAGTGCCTCCCCAATCGTCCCAGTGCCTATCAATGGGTAGACTCATGCTACACCATTTTTGTTTTTTTATTTTTTTCTACTGCATTCATGTATTAAAGTATACAGTTTTTCGATAACAATAATAATATAAAGTAAATTAAGTATTTTTCTGACAATGAATCATAAATAAGAAAATACATATATAAGCCTATATAAATTATTATTTTTTAAAAGCGAAATGATAAATTGTCATAAATACTAAATTTCATCAAACATTATAAAATTATTTACGGAATAAGGACTGCCATTGTAAGCTGATTGCTTGATAGTACGACAGCCCCAGACAAAACTCAAGAAATAAATTAAAACATTTATTAAGCATAAACGGATAGGTAATTGGAAATACAAATGTTGATGATGGTGATATTGACAATGCAGATGAGGATGATGATGATGATGGTGATGAAGATGGTGATGATGATGATGATGATGACAATGATTCGAATGAAAGAAGAGATGATATGATAAAGAAGGAAGAGTTGACACAGAAATTTTACCTTGAGTATTCTGATAATAACATCGTTTTAACTTTGGCCTTAAATGAGTAGAGGGGGCAACATGATTTAATATATTCTGGGAGAGAGTTCCCTAGGTCAGGACCATGGTGTATTATGGATCTATGGGCGATAAGTAATTTCGAGTTTACTAGATGAAAGTTTGAGGAATTACGGTTAGGGCTTTATTTATAGTGTAAAAGTTTAGAAATGAAAGAGGGAGCATATTATCTAAATACTTAAACATGATTAATAAAATTTGTAGTGAATTTATGTCGAATACTGTTAGGGTTTTCCGTTTGTAAAATATTTGACTTGTGTGAGATAAATAGGGTGAACCAGTACATATACGAAGGGCGGATCCAGGGGGCAGGGGGGAAGGGGGCCACCCCTGGCAAGAAAAGAAGTAAAAACACCTTTAAAACAATAATAAGACGGGGCCCCCCACCCCTGCCCCCCCCCCCCAAAAAAAAAAAAAAAAAAATGTTGAGTAAAACAAAAATTGTGCTCAACCCCCCATGCCTTTTCGGCGGCTGAATCGCCGCTAAATATTTTCTCACGAATTGCCCCCCCCCCCCCCTACCGTCGACTGGATCCGCTCCTGTGCTACGCCGCGGTCTGAATGTAATACCATTTAATGTGACTTAATCTAGTTAGTTCAGTTAATTTCAGTTTCAATAAACATGAAACTTGCAGGCCTTTACAGAGCCCCCCCCCCCCTCCCTCTCTCTCTCTCTCTCTCTCTCTCTTTCTCTTTTCTCCTTGTCGAACTTGTACCCATACGCCTACTGTTGGTTATGATTCTTTTTTCTTTTTCTTTTTCTTTTTCAGTCGAGCTAGAGCTTCATCAGTGGATAAAGGAACCACAGAGAGCAGCAATCACAATCAAGATTCTCTCCAGACTAATGATACCCCATCGCCACCATCCGATGTCGGTCTACCTGTACGTGTGCCTTCCTACCTGGAGCCAAATCAAGTACATCCGAACCGGTATTGCACTTTGGACACCAAAGATGCCCCTCATGAATATGAAGAGCCCGATGGCATCGACGCGGTTGGTGTTCCACACCGATTACAGCAGATCCTGCCTAACACGTTCGACGTACCCAGTGATGCTCCCCATGAATATGAAGAGCCCGATGGCATCGACATGAGTGAATATATGAATGTTGATCGCGACAAAGGAAGACCGGTGGTTGATGATGGCGAGTACGTGAAGATGCATGGGCTTGAATTACAGCACACTTACTCGAACTGAGGTGTTTAGGGTACCAGGGAGGGGGGAGGGGTCGGGATCGTCGATAACATTCAGGGCGATTATGCATTGATTTAAAAGAAAAGAAGAAGAAAAAACAAGGTCATAGGCGAATCAAAGAGGGGGAGCCAAACAAACGGCGTACATTTAAAGAAAGAAGACAAATATTAGCTACTGAAGTATAGGATTAAAACCATTATAATTGTGACCCCCCCCCCCCAACGAAGCCGCCATGATCCCTTCTAAGTTCTAAGGACCGTCAAGGTTGCTGAAATCCATGATTCGTTACTGTCAGAAAAATTCCTCCCCCCCCCCCCCCGGCCCCCCTCTTCTTCTGGTGATACAGAAGGATCCGTTAGAAAGAAAGGCATTTATTCATTTGTCACGGCGCTCAAAGTGGTGATATATATACATGTAGATCTTACCCGGTACTCACTGAAAGTAGACATTTTAAACTTATGTTATAACCTTTGTGTAAGTTTTATGCAATCAATGAAATCTTTGTGTATAATATACTGTATATGTATGTATATTTTTTTCCATGACCGATTTATACGGGACGGTGATTATAACCTGTGTGTATAAAACACATGTAGCATTGTAGCTTCAAAGAAATTTTTAATTTTGCGTGTATTTTCCAAAAAGAATTACTAAAATCTGTAACTTTTCGAATAATACAAATATTGTTAACGAAATGTGTTTATAAATCATTGCATGTTATATTTTCTTTCAAAACTGTTGATAAATGGGGTGGAAGAGGGAAGAACAAAATGAAAGTGTGAATTATTATATATTTCACTTCAATACAAAAATAACAAATATTTAAAAAAAAACACTGGCCTTATCATGGAGTAAATGACCGTTGATTAAATAAAGACTTGTGCTGAATAAAATACCATTTTATTGTTCTGAATTCATAAAAAATGGACGTGCATTTACTTGAAAACATGACTAAAACAAGGCATAGTGAAAATGAGTAAACGTCAACATGACTGTTTGTAACAGTTTATTTATACTATCTTGTCAAAACGTCAACCTAACACATCCAAACATACATCAGACACTCAGCGACCTTTGACAACGGATACATTTTGTTTTAATTTCGCAAATATAGTAGGAAAACTGTTGTACATTTCTTTTCTGTTTTGTTTTGTTCATATTATCTGCGTTTTAACCAAGAAGATGAACTTGCAACGATTTTATTACTTCATCAATTTGCTGTATTGATTACAATATAAAGTATGCAACAATGTTCGCTTCAATTAAACAGTGTTGAAGTCATTTTGTAATACCACAGTAGATGTGCATTCATATATGAACATGAATTTAAACGAATATTTTTTAAATATAGATCTGCAATCGTTAATTGATTTCATGTTTACAAACATATTCAACTACAATTTTGTGATGAGAACATTGTGTCCAATCATACATAAGTCAAAATAATTTCAGTAACTCCTTATATCTCTCATTGCCCCCCTAAAACTAAAAGTTTCTCCTTCTTGTCGGTAAAATTATTCTTCTTTTTCTGGTGGTACATTGCCATTTAGAATGATTTAAGATACAAGATAATCCATTTTGAGCACCTTCGGTATGAGGTATGATCCAAATTGATCACAAGTCTTCAAATCAATCACAAAATTACAAACTATTTTCTCTTTAGTGTACATTAGTAAATCATTCGAACTGTCTATACTAAAGACAAGGCCCTTGTTTGTGAATTTCGTTTTGGTACAGGTAAGATTCCAAAGTAGACACAAGTGACATATAATACAACATACTATTATAATTCAAGATTTCTTCATAACATTTTTTTTAGCGATGCATCAAATTTTATAACAGGCCATGTACAAATCCCAATCCCCTAAATACTTTCGGAGCATTTAAGTGCATGCATGATTTAAAATAAAAACAAAAATTAAAAAAAAGTTTTTTAGAGAATGAAATTGAGAGATGCAGTGGCCTACGAATCAAAAAAGATTTATTTAAAAATCCACAAGCCCACAATCTACAATGAATTTAGCATGGGCGGAGCAGGTTCCTACCATCTCCACTATTGAAGGTCCAGAAAAGAATCTGCCCGAGTTCATCATTATCTGGCTACTCCACTGTTAAAGATTCTTCAAAAAACACTTGACAAACTCAATGATATTTGTCTCCCTATTATGAAGAGCATGGAATTATTAATTTTTCAACTCTCTTTAAATCATACTGCCATACGGCAAGAAAAACAACAATCCGATGCCAGACCGATAACAGACAGAGAAAGAAAAAAAATACATTTAACCCTATGGCAAAGAATTGGTCAGTTTGGCAGTTTCACTGGGGCTTAAAATGTACATTATCAAATTTCTTGGGGCACTGGCAAGAACTTCTTCTGCATTACATATATATATATATATATATATATATAAATACTTTTTTTGACAACATGAACATAAAATACTAAAAGGTACTTTCTGACAATGAATTGTAAATAAGTAAGCAAATATAAAATACAAATATTTTTCATTTTTTATATAATTTTTTTCTTCAAAGTGTTACATTTGCATTAAACTTTTAAAAATTATTTATGGAAAAAGACTTCCATTGTAAGCGTTGTGTTAGAAAATATGACATGTGCAGATATGATCTATGCGGATTACATGCCAATGATCATTCCGTGGCAGCATGATCTATAACGCTGTAATGGGATGTCCTCTTATATATGGAGGGATGGTAGCGGTGTTGGGTCGTGCACTGAGGATGGCCAGGGCCCGCTGGCGGATAAACCTCTCCCAAGTTATCAACCTGATCATGGAGGAAAGAAAAACAGTGGGGGTGTTTAGTCATTGTTGTGAATGTATGCTTTAACTGTAAGAAATTTCTAAAAACTTGGATATGATGTTCATGCATTTCTTCCTTTTTTTGAGCCCCTTGCCATCTAGAAACATGGAAAAATTTCAACATGAAGTGCTTAGTAGATAACAAAAGTATATCAGATTTTATAAAGTTGTCAATGGGACAAATGGGTCCTACTTATCTACGCTTACTTTTCATCTTAACATAAGAGTAATTTCTTGAGACCTAATGCATTTAACTATTTCTTCTTAAACTGACATGTTTTGTTTGTTACCCCAGATCAATTTAGCATGTTATATGGCCATCAGTTGACTACTACTTATCACCAACGAATGGCAAATGAACTTCGTCGGTTGATCTAAAGCAGTCAATCCCTCAGTCTTCATTTTAATGTTAATATTTTCTTTTTTTTATTTTGTTCCTTTACGTGTTTTGATGTTTGCATTTTTTATGATCGTATATAAAACCAAACCAAACCGGACAAGCCTACAGAAATAACTACTAAATACTTGGAAAGACTTACTTTCGCTTGTTTGAGGGGTCATACATCTGTATCTGGACATCTCTTCCCTCCTGACTTGATTCTAACCTAGAATAAAAATGAATTCAGTATTTATCAGGGGAAGTTTTGACATTCACAAAACATGTTTCAAATTGGCTATTTCTAATCACATTGATCAAATAATGATTTCTTTAACATTACTTAAATGACTGAAAGTATGATACCTTAAGGAAGAATATGTTTGTTTCACCATACAACTTGAGAAAGCAAAATATGAGTAATCTGTACTGCATAAGAAATATTCCAGAGCCAATTCTAACTTGCGATTGATCCAAATCCATTGCATGTCCTCCTTTCAACTGCTTAACAGCATGTACGTAGCTGCTTTACGTTTTTCCCCTCTTGGTAGTTATTTATTATAGACAACTATTTCATATACCTTGGAAATATACCTTGGAAGTAGGCATTTAAAGTTAAAAACTTATTTGCCTCTCGTTGACATTCGGATGAAGAATCCATATTTTGGCACATGTTTAGTGGCGCTATACAGCAATTGACGAACATGGACAAGCGAAGGACTCCTCTGGATCAAATTGATCTTTTCTTGACGACCAAAATTTCAACAAATTGGATTTAAAGCTGTTTAGTGAATTGCTCTCCACAACTACAGAGGAGAGGTTGTTCCATTCATTGATACATCTCTGTGAAAATGATCCATGTCTAAGCTTCGAGTAGACTTTCTTCTTAACGATCTTGTATCGATGGCCACGGGTTCTATTATCAGTTGGATGGTCAAAGAAGTGTGCTAGATCCATTTCATCTAGGCCATGCATTATTTTGTATATCTGTATCATATCATGTCTGCTCTATGGCGTCTGTAGGCAAGAGATGGTAAGTTGAGATGTTTTAGTCTCTTCTCGTAAGTCAAGTGTCGTAGCATGTGTATTTGGCGAGTTGCTCTACGCTGTACCTTTTCTATTTTCGTGCTGTCTTTTTTCAATACAGGATGCCACACCGTTGAGCAGTACTCGAGTCTTGGTCTTATAATCGATTTGTATAGATGTATAAAGCCCGTTTTGTCCAAATTAGAAAATGTCCGCTTGATAATCCCTAGCTTGCGATTTGCAGCAGCACATACTCCATCCACATGATGTGAAAACTTGAATTGCTGGTCAAAGGTTACCCCAAGGTCTGTTTCTACTTCAACGGCAGGAATAGGTGTATCATCGTCTGACATGAAATAATCATAACAAGGATTTCTTCGACCATAGTGGATTACCTTGCACTTCTCTTGATTAATTGGTAGTTGCCACTGATGAGACCATTTTGTGAGCTTTGTTAGATCTGCTTGTAGATTTTTGCCATCCAATGAAGAGTGAATTGGTGAGAAGATTTTGGTGTCATCCGCAAATAGTTTGACTTCTGATTCAGTGTTACATATAATATCTGGAATGTCATTAACATACAACAAGAACAGTGTCGGCCCCAGCACGCTTCCTTGAGCTACGCCGCTGACAACTTTTGATGCACTCATCAATGATGAAATTTAAAAAGAAAAGCCAGTTCAAGGTTTACTAACCCATGAGCCGTGAGCCAGTTGTAGTAAGCCTCGGCTGATGCAGCTACGGATATGATTCCTGTGTTGTGGTCATCCTTCATCCGAAAACAATTCTTGATGCGCTCTATCTCCTTAGCAGTCAGGTACATCATCAATTTAACCTTTAGGCATATTGAAACGAAAAAAGAAGAAAATTCTTTGTAAAGGTTGTACATGTGTGTGAGTGTTCAAACAAACTAAAACACAATCATGTAGTCTTTGAGAAACTCAGTCTATGGCTATTAAAAATGCCTTGTCGACTTTTGAAATGTGTGAACAGTAAAACAGACATAATAATCTGAAAGTGCTTTCTCCAAGCGCTTGAATAGGGTACTGCACATGAATTTGCCTTGAATTGGACTATAAATAGAGTCCCTATGATTGTGTTTTTTAATGAATTACTGGATTCACCTTTTTTTTAACAGGCCAATTATGCTAATGATACCACACGTTAATATCAACATCATTTCGTACACTGCTCTTTCACATGCATGAATTTTGCCAGTGAACTAGACAATGAAAAGTCACACACTGTAAAAACCAACATCATTGACAATTCGCTAATTTTTCAGGTTGCAAAATTTCTGTTTTTACAGCATGCTAATGAATACAGAAAAAAGAGCAAGAAAAGAGTGTGTTGGGAGAGAAGGAGAATGAGACAGGGAAAGAAGGAATCAAATGCAGTAGAGTAGAAAGAGAGTATAGATATATTTTCTTTTTTTTTCAAATTGCAAACCATATTTTTAAATCACCTGTGGTTGTTTCTCCAGAATATCAATAGCTTCAACTAGAAGGTAATCCTGCCAGGAGACTATGCCGTCTCCATCAGTGTCGTACTGAAAGAACTGCAGTTGGAACAAAGGATTTTTAACCCAAAAATAAAATCATACAGAACATGAAAAAAGTCCTCAATGTGGGGTTTATAATGATGATGATAACGACTTTGATGACGACGATGATGATGATGGTGACATTGACAAGGAGTAGGAAGTTGAGGGGCTGATAACATTGACTTGATTTTAGTTTTATTTCATTGTTTTGGATATTAAATACAATCATGAGAAAGAATACAACATCACAAGGAAGATTTAATCAACTTAATGAAGTAAAATTCAATATTTGTTGGATATATTTACATACATGTATTTTTTAGAAGAACTTTCAGTTAATTGCGCCAATCACGCAATTGCATAATACAATACTAAAAATAAAGACAGTCAATTCATTTCATCACATCTTCATCTCTCAAACTACTTTGATATCCTGTCAGCAATATAACATCATTGTAAAATATGCATTATATCTACATCACGATGTTAATCAACAGAAAAAAAAAGAAAAAAAAAGGAGGCGGCAATTATAAAGTAAAAATGTTTTACCTTTTCTTTGGCATTACTTTCAGTAGCTGATGCCTTTTCAACAGCACGATAGTCTGCCCAGGATATCTTTGAATCTGCAATCGTGTGATAAACAAAGAGGGATAGTATAATTACATTCATTCGATGTATAACCTAAAATGTTGATATTGCCGTCAAAGTAACTGCAATTGTGTAAACATGAAGATAAACTAGCTAATACATGAAAGAAAGAAAAAAATGCATTTCTCCTCTTTTTGTCATCACACTTCTTTAATTTAAAATTAAAATTCAGTTATGTTTGTATTTGCTATTTATTTATTTGATACAGTCAAACCTGCTTTAGTGACCCCCTGTCTAGAAAGACCACATGTCTACAACAAGCACATTTTTTGTTTCCCTTGAAAATGGTTTCTCATTGAAACATGTACTAAAGGCACCTGTTTACAAAGACCACCCGTCTACAAAGACCACTTTTTGTGTTTTCCTTGGGTCGTCGCTATAGATAGGTTTGACTGTATTACTTATTACTGATTGATTTATTCTTCAATATCTTTCTTCAATATCTGTTAAACTGACCTTCATCTTTGTCATAGTTGTCAAACTTCTCCATAACATCATTCATCTGCTCCTGTGATAGGTGATTGCCAATGGCCTCCTTTGGAAAGAATAGAATATAAATCAAGCCAGAGCATAGATGTTTTTTATTGTTATCTTCTGCTTGAGCACCAGGTTGAAAAAGTATATGGGATGCAGTGCTCATAGTAAAGGTTTAAAAAAAGAAATATACAGGTAGACATTATGTGCAAAGGGAGGCAGAGCAGAACAGTATTTCTTTAAGATGTTGCATACTAAATTTTGAGCATGTTAACCTGAAATGTTATCATTAGTGTGCATCTAAAAATTGATCACTGTCATTTGCAGTTAACTTTGAGGATGCTTTTTATAGTACATGTAATAGTTTACATAAGAAGGACGAAAATTAGAGTAAGTCCTCAATTAGTATACAGTACATATAATGCCTAATCCAGAGATGGAATTGCCTTGGCAGGCAAAGAATAGGTTTCACAGCTACTTGAGATAGCCCTGTGTTAAATCAAACATTTTATGTAAGAGTTTTTACCCCCCCCCCCCCAAAAAAAAAAAAAAAAAAAAAAAAAAAAAAAGGTATTCCTATAAACTGCTTTCTTGGTGTTGTAAAACAAAATACTACTAAACTTTTTGTACACTTTTTTATGGGAAAATATAATAACTTGGCACTAAAATTTGGTTTTGACCCTGTATGAAGTAATATGAAGTAGTGACCTACATCAGAAGAAGACATAAATCATCAAACACTCTGTATTCCGTCATTGTGTACTTAGCAGTGGAAAAAGAATTTCCTGAATGGACAGTAAATGATATACTTATACTTATAGTAATATATCTGTCATCAAAATGCAGAACAATGATCATGAAACTATTCAATGAAGTATAGTTTAGTATTAAATTCATTCTTTCTCTTTGTGTATAAGTCAAATTGTGAACAAAAGGCTACAGGCTACAGGATTGTTCATTGTGCTAACACAGCAGACTTTTACTGGAAGCTCTGATGGAACCAATTAAGTGGTCCACTGCCGCTTAGAGTACCATTACAAATATTGATACAAAATGAATGAACTATAACTGCATGTAACATGAACTTGATAAAGTAAACTTACACATTCTGAGCAGCTCCATCCCACCTGCTCTTCCGAGTTCTTCAAGGCAGTGGCAAAGTTGAGGTCATTGCAGTAGCCACTATATTCAAGGCAGGTCTGATGAGAGCACCTCCCACAGATCCTGCACTCATGGATGACGTCATTCTTCACCATGTTGCACATCACACAGGTCACGTCAAATTCAGACTGTGAATCAAAGGGGCAATTAAGTCAACATTCCCAAATCAAGCTATGCTTTCCGGGTTTTCGCCTCCTATCTGAATTATTTACTGTATACTCTATGTTGAAATAATTGTTACATATATCATATATATATACATTGTGTTTCATATTGTACTGTTGAGAAGGAAATAAATGTTAATAATAAAAATAAAAAATGATAATAACAAAAACCAAACATGTAACTGAGCCTACTGAGGAGGATGATGTATTTGAAAAAAATCAAATGCACAAAAACACAAACAATCAAACAAACAAAAAATATTAACTTTCTTGATGCCTAAATAAATGGGATTGATCTTACATATTAAAATAAAAACCCAACCAACAAAAAAATAAACGGAAATCACAAATACTTTCAACGAGACACATTGTATTTTAAAAACATGATTTTGGTCATGGAAGTAAATTCAAGATTGTGTTAGGGGAAAGTCTAATAACTGGACTTTTAACAGAGCACTTGTACAGTTGTATATCAAGCACAATCAGCTGAAAGTACTGTAAGCCTACATGTAGATATATGTAGGCTTACATTAGCATGACGTCATGATATAGGATAGCTGCTGCTTTTGTTTTTTGTAAACTTCAAGTGTTAACAAATAAAAGACAAAATGCTTTTAGACCCTACTATGGGTAAAAAATAAAGGCTTAAAATTATAATTTGGCCTTCAATTTATTTGGAATTAATCTAATTCATTGTATAGTCTTACTTCTAGCATGGATTCATAGTTTAGGTTAGTTGGGGCGCTGCCGTATCTGGTCTCTTCCCGAGCCAGTTTCTGACGTTCGGCCTGTCTCACTGAACGCTCTTCGTTGAAAGATGAGGTTGGTGTCTCCTCCGCCTTATCAATATGCCTAGGATTTGGGGAGAAAAGTTATAGTTACACTTCACTTGTAACTGCATTATTTTATCTGACCCTCCCTCCCCAATATATACAGTAGTTAACATGTAATGATGTATATACAAAGAAGAATACATTTCTGACTAGGCAACTCTTCTATTGCCACCTGGTGTGGGGGGTTACATTGTTTGTTATTTCAAAACCCTTTCCCATTAAGGAGGTCAGCGAGTTGAGACAGGCATAGGTCTAGACTCTGAATGATATAGACTAGAGGTCTCAATCTAAAGTTTATGAAAAAACGAAAATACAAACTAAACATCAAATTTGTGTGACCGATTAAATAAACACATTTCAATCGAATGAATATAGACTATTGCCTTGGGATAACCTACCACCACAGGCACCAGATTTGTAACAATATGTGAAAAGTATTTTGCCCCCCTTTCATCCAATATCAAAGTTTGCTCTTGAAATGCCTTCAATGTGAGTATCTAATGTCTACTACTAGTACTAGACACTACTAATAGATTATTTCAATGGCCCTGAATACTAGGCTTTACCCAATTTGACAAAGGCTTTAGATCTAGATCTACCCTCAATTGACAAACGATCGTTTAAAATATTCAGTTCTGCCTTTAATTTTATTTGATCCAAGTTTTTGTTGATGGAGATTGCGTTTAGATTTAGTCGTACTGCCACATCAATCTTTGACTTTGAGAATAAATTGTCTGCCCGAATAGAGGGAGTTAAATGGTGAACACATTTAGATCATGCAAAGTTGAAAGTAACTAGACCTCTAGCCTAGGCCTAGGGCCTAGGCTACGTCTATTTCGTATGCATTTCCTGGACTGGTGAGATTACCAGCTAATTTTCGAAAAGATATGTTCTGACGGAAAAAACATAGCTCCGGTACAACAGAAACAACACAGATCAATGTTGACAGTCATCGATAGACTATTTACATACAGGGCAACCTTAACCTCACCTGTAACTCTTTTGAAAAGGTCTCATCCATGATGAACTCGTGGCATTACTTGTGTCAACTTGCCGAGTGCCAAGCTGAGGCTGTGGTCCCCCGCCTGTTGTCCCCGCTGTGATTGGTGCAGTTCCCTTTTTTCCGACAGATAAGAAAACATTTGCGATCCTACCGATCCTACCTGCCTGCTGTGCTCTCTTTTGCATTCTTTCCTTTCTATGTTTCATCACTACGTTTCCCATATTCGATTTATTTCCACAAGTCTTTTTTAAAATCAAATTTAAAATGTTTCATGAAAATTGTGGCAGGGTACCAGTCACCAGTAGTCAGTACGTTTACGGTACCGGTACATAGAGAAGTTGGTACGGTACATACTGGGTCGGGAAAAAACTTCTGACCAATGACTTCGCGGCTAGCTAGGCTGGCTAGATATCGCCGCCTGGATCGGCGTAGAGGGCGGACGAACGATAATTGTGTCTTCCCATCATTCAATGCGCACATATTTCTCGTCCTCGAAATCGCATAGCGACCGCCGACGCGACGCGGTTAAAAGTGACATTTGCAAGGTGTAAATTGTTTTCACATCTATGTAAGTATAATTTAAGAAATCGAAATAGTTATAACCAAGAATATTTAATGTTACGCGTCCATTCAATGGACAGAATAATGATCTATAACAATGATATAGTCTAGTGTCGAATAAATCAATCACAGTCCCACTCGTAGAAATTTGTGTTGGTATCATCACATCTCGTATTCGAACTCGAATATCATTATTTCTGGTGATGTTATCGAATCAATACCATGTAATTCCTATTGACAATAATCCATTTATTTAGATGTAGATGGCTAAATGGAGCTAGCTCTATATCAAGCAGGGGATCACATATAGATCTAATGTTAGGTCTACGATTACAATTTTGAATTTTGAAAATACCCTCGCCCTCGGTCACACATAGCATAGAGTAAAGGAGCCCGTTTTCGGCCACTTAAGACAAAATCCTATTTTTAGGACTCTTTACTTCCTATTTATTATCATTTCTTGTTCAAATCATGAAGCAAATATTATTATTATTTAAACAAAAAAAGAATCCCAGAAAAAAAATCACGAATTGCCATGACAATATTCATTTCAATTTTCACTGTTTTAAAGCCAGTTATCGGCCGAGCGTTTCAGTTTACGGCCGCATGTACAAAGTCAATAGGAAGCGCTCGCGCGCGCCGTGCGTTTCCGCGCTGATGTACAGCACAAGCGGGCGGAGCAGGTATCCCACGCCGGAGCTCCCTGGTGCTCGCCTGGCCGAAGACAGGCACAGCGGTGATCGGAAGTTGGAATCTGAATTAGACAGAGATATCGTGTGTGTGCGTCGCGATGTGCGGCTGCATTGATTTAATACATGCGATGAGATACTTTTGAGCTTGCGACCAGCACAAAATCGGGCTCTAAATCTGAAAAACACTTGAAATAAAGCTCATTTTATGGTACCCATATTTCTTACAGACACGCGTAAGATACTCGATTTTTCAGATTTGGGTAGCGGGACCAGCGATTACATCGCTAAAATGTGATATTTTAGGATGTATTTTCCATTGCAAATGTGGTTCTTCAGTAACACTGGCATGGTATGGTATGTGTGGGATATGTGTTATGCTATTATGCGATGTATTTTAGAGTGATTTTACCTTGCATCCAACCAATCGGCCGAAAACTGGAGCTGGCCGATTACCGGCTCCTTTACTCTAGACCCTAGACCGAATTTTCGGTCTCTTTCGTTCGTTAGCCTCTTATTGGGGTAGGGTCGGCCGGCTCTCTCTTTAGAGACGGAAACCGTCTATACACATTCCCTTGATAACGCCACGGCCATTTTAGGTCGTAGCGTTTTGCCCCCAAAATCCCCCAAAATGTCATTTTACCTCGTGTATATCCAAATGTAAATTAGGCCTAGATCTAGGCTATAATACATCGGTTCCACTTACTAACTTGATTGAAATAATCCGTTTAATGATCCCTTTTAAGGAAATTATGGGTCAAAATCGACATCCATATTGAAAATCTTGCAAGCCGTGTTAAACTCTCGCTGCCGGAGTCGTCTAAATCAATCTCATCCCTTCTAGTCTACGCCGAAGGCAAAATGATTATGAAGGAAAAACTGTGATAACGCCATTACGAACGTGTAGATGGCGCACAGTTTTTCCTTCATAATCATTTTGCCTTCGGCGTAGAGTAGAAGGGATGAGATTGATTTAGATGACTCCGGCAGCGAGAGTTAAACACGGCTTGCAAGATTTTCAACATTGATGTCGATTTTGACCCATAATTTCCTTAAAAGGGACCATTAAACGGATTATTTCAATCAAGTTAGTAAGTGGAACCGATGTATTATAGCCTAGGCCTAATTTACATTTGGATATACACGAGGTAAAATGACATTTTTGGGGATTTTGGGGGCAAAACGCTACGACCTGAAATGGCCGTGGCGTTATCAAGGGAATGTGTATAGACGGTTTCCATCTCTAAAGAGAGAGCCGGCCGACCCTACCCCAATAAGAGGCTAACGAACGAAAGAGACGGAAAATTCGGTCTACACATAGCATAGACCCTCTAGGAGCATCACTATCCTGGCTGTGTAGTAAAAGCTGTGCTTTTGATTCTCAACATTTCAAACACCACTGTACAAAACTCAACTGATTTCACTCAAAATTGGTACTTTAGTGACAATTGATGACACCTAAATAGCAGTAAAATACATTTTTTTCAACTTACTGATGTTAAAAAGAATAATTTAAAAATTCAAATTGTAAGTCTAGTGTCAAACTTTGCTTACAGCTGCATCGACATGATTGTGTACAGGCTATGCGTTATTGTGTGGTGTGTATATTTGTGTATAGACTTCTAGGTCCCTGCCTCACAGCATGTATGCAGTGCTAGAGGTCAATACGCATTTAGCATGGACTCTCTATGCTTTGCTGGAGTGCCCTCGGCCTTCCCCCCAATTTTTATGCCTCCGCCACCGAAGGTGGTGCCGGAGGCATCATGTTTTCGGGTTGTCCGTCCGTACGTCCGTACGTCCGTCTCGTTTGACCGTTATCACAATATCTCAAGAACCATTTAAGATTTAAACTTAAGACTCGGGAATAGTATTTATCACCATAGGAAGACGATCTGATTAGATTTTGGAGTACGTAGGTCAAAGGTCACAGGTCACAGAGGTCAACTTATGAAATTCCTTGTATTGAGTTTGTTAGCGCGATATCTCAAGAACCATTTGAGATTTAAACTTCAAACTTAAGGATAGTATGTATCACCATAGGAAGACGATCTGATTAGATTTTGGAGCACGTATGTCAAAGGTCAAGGGTCACAGAGGTCAACTTATGAAATTCCATACATTGAGATTGTTATCATGATATCTCAAGAACCACTGGAGATTTAAAGGGAGTGGATCGCCAGTTTCCATGTGCAGAAGGCCATAATTCGCTGACACCAGACTTGGTGGAAATACCATTAACGGGGGAACAATTTTGCACACAGCAAACCCATAGTCCAGTCAAGAATTACCCCCCAATCTCTGGGAGAGCTCGAGAGTCTTCGGCAAATCAAAGCATTACATAAGGTCCAATGGTCATAAAACTCAAGGCTAACCCTGGTGATTGACAACACCTGTTATTGGGTAAACACCCGAACGGTGTCGAATTCCCCATGAGAGCCGACTACTCAGTGACTTTAAACTTCAAACTTAGTGATAGTGTGTATCACTATAGAAAAACAATCTGATTACATTTTGGAGCATGTAGGTCAAAGGTCAAGGGTCATAGAGGTCAACTTATGAAATTCCATACATTGAGAAATTGTTATGATATCTCAAGAACCACTGGAGATGTAAAAACTTCAAACTTAAGGATAGTATGTATCACCATAGGAAGACGATCTGATAAGATTTTGGAGCACGTAGGTCAAAGGTCAAGGGTCACAGAGGTCAACTTATGAAATTCCATACATTGAGATTGTTATCATAATATCTCAAGAACCACTGGAGATTTAAACTTCAAACTTAATGATAGTGTGTATCACCATAGGAAGACAATCTGATTAGATTTTGGAGCACGTAGGTCAAAGGTCAAGGGTCACAGAGGTCAACTTATGAAATTCCATACATTGAGATCGTTATTGCGATATCTCAAGAACCACTGGAGAATTTTCACTTCAAACTTAATGATAGTATGTATCACCATATCATAATATCTCAAGAACCACTGGAGATTTAAACTTCAAACTTAATGATAGTGTGTATCACCATAGGAAGACAATCTGATTAGATTTTGGAGCACGTAGGTCAAAGGTCAAGGGTCACAGAGGTCAACTTATGAAATTCCATACATTGAGATTGTTATCATGATATCTCAAGAACCACTGGAGATTTAAACTCCAAACTTGTTTAAATTGCTCTATGGCGGAGGCATCATTTTCGAATGCGCGCAGTCAAAATTCCATCTAGTTTAATTGGCGAAGAAGTGGGGAGGCATGACTCTCACTCTGCTCAGTGCAAATGCATGGTGACAGCGTGTAGCTCACATGACGCTCAGCAGCGCAAACCTAACTTTGTGCATGCTATACGCGTTACTAAATGTAATCCTTTGTACACACTGCGCAGCGTTTATATGTGTGTGCAATGCCAATTGATCGCATATGTGTATGCATTTGGATCACATGTGTTTGTTTATCCATTCGGCAAGACCTGCATGTCTACGCACAATAAATGCCGCAATTTACCCATTTGGCAATCTACCCATCAAAAGAAAAGAAATTTATTCCTTTAACAGGATTTTATAGTCACTTAAAATATAGAATAATGATAAGCAAAATACTTCCGAAAGAAGATGGAGCATTTTTCTGCCCAGAATTCGGTCGCGCCGATTAGAATTCAGTCACGTGATTTGTGCGTGGTATCTCTGTTGCCAAGGAGCGAAGCGTATTTGCGCACTATTTTCACACAATTGCGCAATAAAGCACTGAATGTCAATGCATTGACCGAATACTGGCCGAGCGATACCGCATGGCAAGGGTATCGTATAAATACCTCTCCACACATCGGCAAATGCGTCATTTGCAAATTCACTGCGATGGAGTGAACACAGAAGTGATTCTCTTCACACACATACTAAATTCATTGCGATAGCACACGCAGTTGTTTTGCAATAGCTTCTACATATGGCTATGCATGTTAGCGCATGTGCTAAGAGAACGCGGAAGTGCAGAAAGTCTTGCGACACTGACCAATTTTGAGCTAAGTTAGAGATTTTTCCGGGGCCCTAAATCTGATTTAATTTTGAGAGTTAAGAAAAGTTGTTCAGCTGCCTGATTTGTGCAAGTTTCGCGGCTCATTGATTATTTTTTAAATTGTTACAGCTGTTGAAACGGCTGTCTGACCGAATACTGGGAATATGGACCGAATACTGGGCGCGCTACCCTATACGCTTTACATATTACGCGATGCAGATACATGTAGCTGTTTGGGCTGCACAGCTGTTGAGCAAAATTCATAACTCTGCGTTCACCGCTTTTTCGTTCATTCTGGACAAAAATTGGATGAATATTGCCTAGATTTTGGGGGGCTGTATCTTTTGATAGAAACATCAGTAAGTCTTGAAATTTGAAAAGCCTTCTGAGTATTTGATTTTTTTTCAATAATCCAACCATAATAAATGGTGAAAAACGAACCAAAGGAACACCCTACTTTTGAATGCGATGCTCCATAATCGGACTATTACCATCAATGACCATAATAAATAAATAATTTCCAGCTGATTCACAGCTCATGTAGAAAAACTATAGAAACTGCCACTGATTTTCCTCCGTCACTATCGTAAAGTTAATCGTCTAGTTTCAGCTAATGATCCATCAAAACAAAATTGACCTCCAAAAACTCTGTCCCTAGGTCCATTTCGCGCCCCAAAGAATTTACAGGATTTTACATACGACATAGTAAGGTATGGATCAAGTTAATTTACGACCAAGTATATATATAATTTTCCAAGAGATTCAGCGCATGAGCGTGAAGCCTAAAAAATGCACGCAATTAATAATACTAAGCGGCTAATCTGCAAGATTGACAGTAGACTTCCAATTTAAATTTTTAAGAATTATTTGTGGGTGCTTGTAAGATCTAGCTGTAATTTCAAGAAATTTTCAGTTTTAGATCAATATTGTTTTGTAAGTCGCAAGCTTACAACTGCCCAAACACATGCTGTAGTCACTAATAGTCCATGTTTGAGGCGCACACTGTGTGTATGAATTGTGATGACATTTTCTGAAACTGTGGAGGTGGAATCTGGCCGGATCACATGAAGGGAGCTCCGCCATATAAACATGAGGTCAAAAACCCACAGCCGAAACTCCTAACTGAAAATTGATATTGACTTAGCAAATCTTTATTTCTTCTCAGAAATATTTTATTTCCTTGAAACATTAACACAAAATTCTTCTATGATTTCTAAAAAAAAGACATGAAAATAAGTTTGGAACAAATAGTACAAAAATTAGATTTTGTCGTCAGTGGCCGAAAAAAAAACTCCAGTATTTTATCCTGCAGGTATTTTCAGTTATGCAGATTTCTGTTGACATTGAGTGACTTGATCATTCCATCATTTGCATTGAATTGCTCAAAATCAGTCACTTAAAAAGCATTATTTATGATACTTTCCCATTTCACAATTCGTCTCTGACTATACTACATGTATATACATGTAGGTAGAAGGTTTTTTCTTCTTCCAGTTTTAAATTTGTCTCATGCTCAAAAATGAGTCAAATGTAGTCACTAATACTCTGGGTTAGATGCAATACACACACGATAGCTTCATAACAATATGATTGTTTGATACCATGATAAACAATTTGTCAGTGTTTCACATGATTCAGAATAATTCTCAAATACAGATTTTTACATTTGATTTTGTTTAATATCAAATTTAGATTACTTGAACTGTGACTTCAGCATGTGTCAATAGACTGAAATTCAGGTGGATTAAAAAAATTGTCTTTCTTTTAATGTTAAGTATAACAGCAACAGAATGAAGGCATTTCCACCATGTACACTGTACATGTTGTATATCATCACATGTTTTGTATAATAAAGTATTGTTTATGTGTATTCTGCCATTGTTTTTACCATAAGGAATCGACCTCCCTCTGGCAGCGGGCGCAAGCCAACAGCAGCAGGAATGAGACCCCCTTCTGGATTGAGACAGCCCCCTCCTGGCACGGCTATGAGGATGCCACCTGGTACTGGGGTAAGGGTTTCAATCTTAAAGCCCCACTGCACTACTTATAGCTACTTGTGCCCATTATAGCAAACAATGCCTAATCGGTGACCTTTGGTCCCCCATGATCAATTTTTCTAATGTTAATTGAGAGCTGATTTGATGTGATTACCACCTACAATGTAATCCCCCCTGGCCAAACTAGTACAAACAGGCTTTAATACACTTTATAAATGTATGCATACAAGCAATTCCCATCAATGGGAAATGATAGTGAATAGGGACAGATTTTCTAAAATAAAGATAAGTTGTAATACTTAGGCAACACCACCAACTGATCCCAAGCAGTTTTAGAGCGACCAATTTCTTGCCATTTTTGCCATTCTTGCCATTTTTGTAAGTTGTTGTAATTTTTGTGTTCAATGTGTTATGTCCAAATGACTGGAATATAAAAAAAAAGGGTTAGATAGGATGCCTTTCATATGGTGTCGATCATTATTATCATTATTGAATCTATTGTCCCCAATATCCAATATAGATATCATTACATTTTCCACATTTGAAATTAACTACCATACATTGCATCCTTATTTTCTTTGAGCACTCAGCAATATACAATATACTGTAGTGTACTGGAACGGCAATAACATAGATATTTTTTCTTCTTATCTTTCTCTTTCTTTTTATTTCCAGTTTGAAATGTTTCAATATATTTATTGTGATATGTTTATCTAATATGAACAAATACTATCAGATTTATCAAAATTATTGACACAGCATAAAATGTAAGTAGTCACAAATAGATTCCCTCATTCGTTCGTCTTTACCTCAATACACATGTCAAAGTAAAATTCAATAAAAATGTATGTAAGTTTACACAGGTAAATGCTCTTTGTAGAAATTTAAATGTGTATTTAAATTTATGCCATTACAGGCTCCCGGTACAGCTAGGCCTGGGACAAGGGGAGGAGCAGGACCTTCCACTGGCGCAGGTATTCATAACTGTTTTATTTTCATGTAGATCCTGTCGTAGTCGAGTGGTTTAAACACTTGACTAGAAAAGTGAAAAGTGTCCTTTGTCAAGACATTCATATAAATTTGCCACTTTCAAACCAGGTGTTATATGGTTAAAAGTAGGACATTTTTGCTTGAAAGTTGTGAGCACTGAAATCTGTATCGTGAGCACCTTGTGTGGTGGAAGTGTGCAATCTCAAAATATCCAATTTGTTTTTTTTTCTTCAGTTTTTTTTCATTTCAGCTATAATTATTGAATGTTTACATTACATTGTTAATCCACTAATGTGAGAAATGCTGGAATTTGTATATTGGTTATGTTACAACTATTTGCAGAGCAATCAAATTGCATGTATATTGAGCAAAATGAAGGTGGCCAATTTGTAGAAATTTATTTAAACAATATGTATTTTCATGATTTTGTACAAAATTTATCTGTTGTTTAGCTGAGAAGTGCTGTTCAAAGACTTTGCTCATGATGTTTTTATTAAAACTATGAACACAATTCAATTCATACAATTTAAGTTTTTATATAAACTAGATTATAACCTGGATCATTTGAAACAAATGTATGAGATGCTAGACATGTAAGAGATGAAATAAGATCATACATCTTTATTTTATTATTGGTACATGTATTTTCAGTAATAGAACACTCATGAATAATCATAATAATCTAATTCAGCAATGACATGTTGGACATGTTGCTGATAACAAAAAGAAGGAAAAAAATCCTTAGCAATATGTACAAGACAATGCAATTGTGATTAAATTCAACTTAGAATACAATTCTTTTCATTTTTATTTTATTTCAGTACTCAATGCCAACATCAATGTTACAGACAGGCCAACCACACAACAGGGTCTTGGGGGACTCAAGACTGGTAAAAAAGGTGAGTTTAAAAGTTTCTTTGAGATATTGTGAGACAAACCCAGATGTAGTTGTATATTTAAAACTCTAGTTAAAAGCTACAAAGGGTGGCATACATACCACTTTTAAACAAATATTAATCACCTACGAGGGTAATGGTGCAAACTGTCATCGCCGAGGTGATTTCGGGGCTACTATCTTCCCGAGCCGCAAGGCGAGGGAAGATGGTAGCCCCGAGATCACCGAGGCGATGATAGTTTGTATCCATTGCCCGAGTAAAGGAGGTTAATATTTGTTTTATATCCCACATCGGCATTATAGGTCTATTTAAAGTGAATTTTACATAATAATAAGAACTGATTCTGCAGACAGTTTAGCTTCAGCTAGATTTTACAAAGCGCAACATGCATACATGTAATACAGTCGATGCGCGCTCATTTGACATTGACATTGACTTTGACATTTCGTGTAACCTACTTTGCTATGCGTATTCAATGGGCAAGGGTGGGCAAGTGGGGTAGCAGCAAAAAATTACTTTACAATAAGTACTATCTCAGGTAGATAGTACTTATCTATACCTTTTTCGTGCTCTGTACAATCGCAATGCAAACAACTATACATGAGGGATATAATCATTAATATGTAATGTGAGGATCCTTTTTATAAAGAAAAGCAGAATATAGGCAAAGTGTGTTACTAAACAATATAGGTCAAAGATTTGAAACAAACAAAAAAGTGATGATCTACCTTTTTCATAAATTATATTTACCAAGATTATTGTCTGATTTCAGGCTTTCTTTGCTTAATATTGTGCTATCCAAAGTTCAACACGTCTGACACATTTAGTCCGACCAACTGATAATTCCTATGATCATCAGATTAATTTTTTTTTTTTTTGGGGGGGGGGGTGCATTGGGGCAGGGGCAAGTCCAAAATAAAGTTAAATCCAATCATATAAGAATTTAGAATTGCTTTTTAAAAGCCAGTTTGTCTTGAATTGTAATTCCTTGATGTATTGGACTGGGGATTGGATTTTAAAGACGCATAGTAGTTGATTCTCATGGGGAATTTAACACCGTTCAGGTGTTTACCATATAACGGGTGTTGACAATCACCAGGTTTAGCTTTCAGTTTTATGACCAAAATGCCTTATGTAATGCTTTGTATTTCCTCATCCATTCCTCCACGTGGTAAAGTCATTATCTCACTTTTCCCTCACCCGAAGACTCTCCGAGAGACGAAAGGGTATTTCTTGATGGACCTACAGGTTCGCTGTGTGCAGACTTTTAAACACATTAATTGTATTTCCACCAAGTCTGGTGTCAGCCAATTATGGCCTTCTGCCCATGGAAACTGATGACCTACTCCCTTTAAAAAAAAGATGTGACCTTTGACCTTTTGTATACATTATCACTTACAGGTCCTTCAAGAGTTGTTATGGACAAGTCTTATTTCCTTGGCCTCCTGAGAACCAAGATGAATGAACTGACAACTGAAAATAACAAACTTCAGAGAGAGATTGACAGGATAAATGAGGAAAATAACAGCTTTCTTTCTTACGAGAAGAAGTAAGTTATCATATTGCTGTGGTGGCATGGCATTTATAACACACAGCTTGATATGAGTGTGAAATATCCATGTTAATTCTGATAAAGACGGGTACACAATAAAGTATGTCTTAAGCTCCAAAACGTTATGTTATGATTCAGGGCCTTTTGGTATAGTAGTACAATGATTTTGTTAGTTTATGGTATAAATGAGACTAAAAAGCAATATTTGTTGCTGTTATTCAAAATCTGTAAACAGATCTTTTCTTTTCAGAATCCATTCATTTATTTTGCATCACAGAATTTAAGCAGATAACAGTATCATATTTTTTCTCAGATATTCATTGCATAGCATGATGATAATGTAATTTGTTTCTATTTTCACTCTTACAAGAGCTTCACATGACCTGTCAAACATAGAGGGGGGAAATAAAACATCTTATTATTACTCTGCCTTCTTCTACCCTAAATTGTTGGTTGTCTTGCTTTTAAAGGGCTGAGAGTGTCGCAGGTGAAATCAAAGAACTTCAGGGACAACTGGGTGACTACAATACAGTAAGTTTTTGTTGGAATATATATATTTTGAATATTGATTTTTGTGTCTTTTGATCAATTTTAAAAAAATAAAACATCCCAACTTGTGGGAATAGGATTGTGGACTGCTACATTGTTTGGAGTAGGCTAATGTTATATGTACACTGTGTATGTGCCAAAAGTCTACCGTGGCAAACCTATGCTCGTTCCATTTGTCAACCTAAGCAAGTGAATTAATATGAAACAGGTTAAATCGTTGGTTGGCCTTTTTTTATTCACAAAAGCATATTTAGGGCAATTCCACGGTAACAGAAGGACACTCAGACAAGATTTTTGAACTTCAGGTTCATACTAAAAGAAATGTTTTATTAGTATGTATTAAACTATGGGGAACAAAATGTGTTTCAGTCAAGTGGAAAGCTTCATCAACTTCACAAAGTTTGGATAAACACTAATTAACTGGAAAAACCATGTCCATTTTTATGTCCTTCCATTACCGAGATAATTAATATGCACATTCTTAAACTACTTAACTATAATGACAATTTTTGGGGGGAGAATTAAAGGCACTTATATAGGTATTATATCTGTACTGTTTCACATCTTATACTAATAAAACAGTTCTTTTAGTATGAACCTGAAGTTCAAAAATCTTGTCTGAGTGTCCTTCCGTTACCGTGGAATTGCCCTTTAGCTGAGATTTTGTAATATTCATTTTTTCTTTAAATTTTAAATGCATTTTGTCTTGCAGCTTGTAGATAAACTCAACACAGACACTGAGATGGATGAAGTACAAGAAGATTATAATCAGGTATGTGTCATATCCCCCCTTCCTCCTCCCATTTCAATTTCCACCTCTCGTCTTCTCCTCTCTCTCTCTCTCTCTCTCTCTATCTCTCTCTATCTCTCTTCCCCCCCCCCCTCTATCTCCCTCTCCCCCTCTATCTCTCTATCTCTCTCACCTCTCCTCTATCTATCCTCTGTCTCTCTCCCTCTGTCTTTGTCTGTCTCTCTCTTATCTCTTTCACCTTCATTCGCTCTGTTTTTCCTGTATCTCTGTCTTTCTTTTCCTCTCTATGAATGTATTTGATAGTCAATACAATTTGTGAAATGACCACGGTATGATTACAAACATTCTTCAAATTCTTGAATTAAAAGAGAGCCAGAGTTTATAGAATAAAATCATTTTGTTAGCAATTTTAGAGGAAACAGTATGTACACTAATCCAATCAAAGAATTGTGTATGAGTTTTACTCGACTTTGGCTTCGGCTTCATACTGTAATCAATCTCCAATTCTAGATATCATTGTTGTAGTTACAATTTGTATGCAAGCAGGGGATTGATTATTGGTCCCGTGAGAGTATGGATATTTAAGGTGCGGATTTTAATTGGCATTTGAATGATCTCAACACTTGGCATGTTCAAAAAATTATAGTCATAATTATGTTACAATTAACAACTGGATCATTTATAAGTCCTTGAAATTTGTTGTTGTTGCATACTTAGGAAATTACAAAACTTGGTAAGGATATGGTTTTGAATTTTTAACTGTGTATGTAGCAAGCCTTACACTATTTGCAAATAAACATCAGCTCCACTTGAATAATGCAGCATTGTGTTTTTTTTTGTGGTCTTTAATTTCCTTGTGTAGATGTAATAGGTACATGTACATGTGTTGTAGACCTTATTTTTCCTGTATGACTTAATTTTGTAAATTTTTATTCACAGCTGAAAGTTGAAAATGACCTGGAAAGCAAGAATATAGATACCATCTTCACAACAAGACAAGAGTAAGCCTTTCCTTTGCATTTATTGCTTTTAATTAAAAAAATGTCCATGAATTTTGACTTACAGTCAGGGTTGCTAGTTTGGGGGCAAAAGCCTGGATTCAGGGCCTAGCAATTTATTTGTTGTTATTACAAATTAGGTAATAAAGATTTTCAGGTCCACACATTAATCCTTACTGGTAATCTCAATATGGAAATTGAATCCTGAGCAAGAACAAAACTGAGAACTAACATTTTTTGTTTTCTTATTATTCCTTTGTATCATCAGGACTGAATCCCAGATAACTCAAGTAGATGTAGAAATCCAGCAATGCAGACGGATGGCTGACACTCTAGTAGATGACATGGTATGTACATGTGCCTAAATGGAGTTATTTCCTCAAATTTATGTCACAATGATGTAGCTTATCCATACTTTCTACAGGTGTACAGTATTTAAGTGTGAATAACATATTGTTGACATGTTTTCAAGCATAGCTAGCTTCATGTATGTCTCCAGTAAGAGGTAAGTGAGAGGTAAGATATCTCTCTCTATCTCTCATCACATTAATCACTTAGTTTCTCTCATATGTTTTTTGTATATTATCTTAGCATTCCAGATAACAATAAAGTGATTATTAAATTCAATTCAATTCAATTTTGGTTTTATTGTATAAAAAAAAAATTAAAAAAATATGACAAAAGTCCATTGACTGAAATTGTCATATTTACACAAAAAAGCAAGAAAATATAGAGATGGAATATAGTACCATACAGTGACTGTTAATAATCATATTAGACACAAATTGATGATGTAGATTATGGAATAAATTACCACCAGAAATAAGGAAAGCCCCATCACTAGATCATTTTAAATAAAAACTGAAAATTCACTTGTTCATATAGTATGTATAGCACAGCATTTACGAGCTCTTGCAGCGCAGTAGAATATATCTACATAGTTATTGCGCTTTACAAATGAATATATTATTATTATTATTATTATAAAAATTGCCAATGAATGTTATAACAGAAAATATTAAGGTATTCACACATTATTCCATTATTCATCAAAATAACAAGCGTTCTGTTAAATTGTCAGTTTTTTCCCTGCTGTAATAAAATACTTTTAAGAAAAGAAGACATTGTACAAATCTGAAATTTCATTCAGTTAATGATATTCTGATTTGCTGAAGATAAGTTTATGTGGAGACTATAATATGAAGTTTCAGTAGTCACACAGAAAAGAAAGAATGGCATGATTTGTGTAAAAGCAATATAACAGTATGAGAATCCGTATAAATCAGTATTCTTGGAACACGTTTTTTCTGAATGAAAATTATTGGTAATTTACTTTACAGATGCTCTGAGAAAGAAATCCTGCGATTTAAATAGATCAATAGCATATATTAGAGAATTGCATCAAAATGAAACTACATTATCTATAAAATATATGGTTAATTATTACTAAAAAGTCAATATTTCATATTTCAGTGGACACAAAGAATGTTGAATGGATGGTTTCAACTCAGCCAATATTTGTGAAATAGAAGAGCTTAGAAAATAACCTTTTTTTCTAGGTTAATTCTCATAAAATTATCTGAAGTGTGCAGGAAATTACTTACTTTACAACTTAATACACACTCTTATCTCAAAAATGCAAATATGTTTTAATTGACCTGTGGAATATGATCATATTTGTAGAGGATATCTTTTTTCTAACCTACTTTGGCTCGATTCCAATTTAAACCTGTTAAATTTCAGGGAAATTTCATGTCATTCATAAAACTGAAAAAGGCAATTATATTTATTAACCAACTGACTTTTGGAATAGAGTTGTAAATATCAAAAGGCAAATATTTGAAATTTGGTAAGTTTAAACTCCCTTATCTCTAGAGGTATAGCAATAACGGATGTTCATAATTACTCATTACTTTGAAATACACCGGAAATTTGAGACGTACAAGTCATATCAGTTTTCATTTTGAAAGAGCTGATTAATATTTGATATCAAACAAGAGCTGATTTGTCATGTTATTTGTAAAGGGTGACAGTGAGCCCATATATGTGCAGCTTTTATCAAGTACTTTCAAGGTGATCTTTTAGTCACAGTAAGTGTATCTTTGACTTGGAAGATATACTACATGTATAGTGTAGGCAAAAACAGGAAAATGCATAATCACAGATACAGTAAGTGTGAAAGAGTAGTTACCTGTTCTTATTCTATACATTTTGATTGAAGTATTGCATTGATGCATGTGATGTGCAGCATAACAGTTTCTACAAAGTGTACATATAAGCTTATTATAGAATAACAGATAGTCGAGAAACAGGGCAGCACCAAGAGGAATCCAAGAAAAATGGACTCCCAAGTATTAACAGTTATTGTGTAAACATAGTAATGATGATAATAGGTCCATTTATATTGGGTGGAGAGGGGCAAATGTAGATTAATGTCTTGCCAAAGGACATTAGTGTTGCTGTGGGAATCTAACCACGAACCATGTTATCCACAGTCCGATGAGGTATCCACGTAGACCACCACACCTCTACAAGAGAACCTTGTGTATCTTTAGAACCCCTTGTATCTTTTCAATGGTCCACATAATGACAGATAATAATGATAATAAAAGGCATTTCTATATAACGCCGTCTATCTAGAAACTCTATTCCGAGGCACATTTATTATTACCCTGGCTTTAGCCTAGCTGCCATTACAGCGCTCCAGCATTTCAAGGAATTAATTCCTGCCATGTACCCATTTACATCACCTGGGTTGAGTGTGGCAAATGTAGATCAATGTCTTGCCAAAGGACATTAGTGCCGTGGCGGGACTCGAACCGTGGACCTTGTGATCGACAGTCTGGCGACGTATCCACTCGACCACGACACCTCTAGAAGGAAAACTTAACTGAAAGGATAATGAAAGCGATGTTGACTCTCTTTCTGAATAATATTCTGTACTTTTAAGCCTAGTCCTGCCTTACCCATGATGATAACTACATGTATAACCATATTAATGATTTCAATTAAGCCTTTCAATTTTAGAACAAAAGGTGGTGGAGATAATCTGATCTGTAGTACACCTGTTTCTAACTCGTCACGTGATTGGTTGAAGGATGTTATTTGCATTGAAATGCATGTAACTTCAAAAAATTGTGCTTCTTTCATAAAAACCTCAATTTAGCCATACATTTCATTTCTTTAGTCAAAATATTTAAGACAGAAATTTCTATCATGTTTAAAAAGTGGTATGAAGCAATCAAAACTCATGAGGGAGTTACCAGAAAAATAGCAGTGAGTGGAAAGTATTCAAAATCTCTCAGAATTTTTTTTTTAGAGAAACAAGTAAATTTTAATTTGTAAGCATGATATCCTAAATCATACTACATATTGTAACATTTAATCAACTGTATAGTTATCGGTATCAGGACAAGTAGGACTAGGCCACTAATTAGCTATACTCGATGGTCTTGCTCTTGATTTGACTCTTTACTGTTTAATATATAGGTTTAATTCATTAAGTGTATCACTCTTGCAGTTTTTTACTTCTTTAAGAATTATTGAGAGCTTCTTGGCTTGTCTCACCTTGCAAATGTACAGAACGAGTAGTATTAAAAAAATCACAAACAAGATCACAACAGCTACATAATATACTGGAAAGACCGGACAATTGGTTTTTGGAACAGGATTTGGTATTGATAGATTAGTAAGAAGGCTAGAATTGTCTCCATCTAATAACCCTGTGTCTTGAGATGACATCAGATGTTGTGTTGTTGAAGCCACAGGACAAGGGTCTGTGGTATTGGTGAAGGCACTTTTTTCAATAGGATCCAATTTACAGTCTTTGCAATCACACATGTCTGTGGTCTCTTCCAAGCTACAAGAACAACAGTACACAGAATCTGTGGCTAGTCGTGCTAGTATAGTTTGTGTCAAAGTCCTGCGCCCTTGTGCAGGATTAGTCAATGAAGGTAGCTTCATTCCATTTTGGTAACATACAATCTGTCCTGCTAGAGTACCTACTGGAGCCGTACATTGCAGTGAGACCCATTCCCTATCGGTGTATTGCCTGCTTGTTTCACAAGATGCCTCTCCGGGAGGATATTTAACACGTATCCCAATTCTAGGGTAATCCGGTAGCATTTGACCGTTCTTGTATGCAGTCAAGATATACGTACCTTCATTGTCTCTTAGGACAGGATCAATTGTTAAGTAGAGCCAACAGTTGCCAGCGTTAGTGTCATTCATAAGCACATGATTCGGGGGTAAGGATAGGAAATGCGGATTCACAGAACTATAAAAAGGGTATCTATAGCTATATCGTAACGTGACTCTTGTACTGTCACATGGATATGTAAAATTAAGTTGTGCAACTTCCCCCTCGGATACATTTAGGGTGATAGATTCGTAGCATCTTGCCAATATGATCAAAGTAACGAAAGTGATGAAAGCATGTAATTTGCATTTTGATAGAACCTCTTGTGACTTCACCATCTCGTAGTTTGGGTTAATCTGTGAGAAGAAAGAGAATATGGTAACTACATTTACTACAGCAAAAGAATTGAGAATATACTGATATTGAGTTTATTATTGTATTAAGTTTGATGATTGTGAATGAAAACATATGGTCTTGATTCAACATAAGGGAGTGTCTGCGCTTCTAAAAAGAGCTACTTTATAGAAAAACAGCATAAGAATTTGCCTTGATGATGGCAATTTGGCAAATTGAATGTTGCTAAGCCCCATTGCCTTGCTGTGGTATCTTTCTACAAATATAATGGTGGTTCTGTCAAAAGAAAAGCAAAATCCTGTAAATAAGATTTGATAGTTATTTCAACATGAACATGTATGTGCAGATATATGAATAATCTAATGATTGCTTCTGAAAACTGCAAGAGAAACCATATACTCTTTCTATAGTCCATTAACAATGCTTGCATGATTACATTAACAAGCCATAATCAAGTTTTCATGTGGGTTTCTAGTTCTTGAAGAATTATAAAGAATTGACCAATATCTACCCTAAATGAAAGATCTATTGACAAAAAAAAAAGTGAAAAGCTACAGTTTTCTATCCAAGCATGTAGGGAGCAATATCAGTTTGGTCATCAATTACTTGTCAAATAACTAGAGTGTGTGTTAGGCTTGAAGAATGATTCAATTTTAATCCTGTTATGTTTGAGGTCTAACTTCAGTGCTCTCTACCTTTTGTACATGTATCTCCTTGACAAATAGCTAAAATATATTTACACTTAATTGTATACATTTCAAGTAGGTCTCCATAAACCCAATAAATCACATTGCACAATATCTAAATGCAGTGTTACACGATGGTTGGAAATCAAATGATACGAGGTGTAACGAT